CTTCGTTTAGTCAACAGTGCTTTGTATTGTACTGAACATTCTAATAATTCATTTTTGAATTTTATTTTAATCCACAATTCTTGACTGAAGTTCTAAAACACTTAAGAGCAATATATTGAGACTGGAAAAGCATATATTTACATGCCCATAAAATATTTACTCTTCATTTTTACAACTAAGCAAAGAGATAATTAAGCTGAACCCTCCTGTAGTTAGGTCTAAAGCCTTTCTTAAGGTAGTTTTTATGTAACTTCCTGATGACCTCAGAAGAACAATGGAGCTCCTTGCTTCTTAACTGTACATCTTGTGATTTATCTTTCACTTCTACTGAGCAGTCCTGTTTGATGGAATCGACTGGGAGGTCCTTACTACACCTTTGGAAAAGAAAAATATTAAAGAGATCCTATTTCTAATACACGTTTAGTTTCACTGATTTTTCTCACTTCACTTTTGCTGTTTTCCACCCTTTAGATTTGAGAGTATCATCTCTCTAAGTGCTATCCTGAAAACAGCAGTGAAGGTGCATGTAAAGGATTAAATAGAAATTAACAGCCTTGTTACTGAAACAGGACCCAAACTGGATCCAGGATGAAAGAACTTAAATAGGGGGGGGGGGGAACAGAACCTTTCTAGTATATGTGAGAACCCCACAAAGTGAATATACACCAATCTGTAATATGTCCATTACTGCCTAATGTTTTCAAAACGTTAAAAAAATAGAAATATTTCCTTGTTCATACCATGGTATTGTTTTGGACAAACTGAATGTTATGAGCAGCTGACTCACCTGAAATGTTCCCCATTTTTTAGACATGCTGTCATATCTAGAGCTCATTTTATCTCATTATTTTAAAAAAATTAACAATGTGATAGGCAAAAGTAATCTCTGGGTTGTGTGAGAAGGAAATCTTCCTCCTGCCATTCAGTCTTCCTCCCTCCTCCCCGCCATGCAGTCTTCCCAGTCTTCCCGCTGTAATCAAAGCAAAAGGTGAGAAACTGCAATTAGAATGGGCCCAATACATAGATGTTTAAGCACTTTAAGCTTCTCAAAAGGTTTATCTTCTCACTTACTCAATTTATTTATGTATTTATTTATGTATTTATTTATGTATTTAATCTCTGAGTCACTCACTGCTTTTTTATAGGACCTCCATGCCTTTCCCTTAATTTTCTCTTCTCCTGCAAGTCTGGATGGGATTTGAGTTTTCTAGTCTCTTCAGGGTGATCTGCTAGGAATATGTCTTTGGCAAAGGTCTCCAAGAGGCTTTCCCTTTTCCCTTTTTCTCCCATCGGTCTGTTCTCTATAAGGAAGGTGTTCTGGGGCTACCATAGATGCCCAGTGGCCCTAGGATCCTGCTTCCAATTTGCTCCTTTGCCCACAAACTTGAGCATAGGGATCAAACGGGGGGATGGAAGCTAATACAGTGGTACCTCTAGTTACGAACGCCCCTCCTTACGAATTTTTCAAGATACGACCAGCTCCAGCCCCAAAAATTTACCTCGACATGCGAACTCCACCTCTACTTATGACCCTGACCCGCGGCCATTTCCCCTGCTGCCACGCGGTCGCGGCTTCCTGTGGGCGAGATCGCGGTAGCAAGGAGAC